CCTGAGAGGAGAATGGAGGAGAAGGGATTGCGGCGTGACCATCCCCCTGGGGGGTGATTTCTCGGTTTCTATCTCTCTGTTTCTCTCTGTCTGTCCGGCGAGCACACGTGCCCTATAGCAAAAACTTCTCAAAAAGAAAAAAAAAAGAAATGAAGGAGAAAGGACTGTAGTGTGACCACACCCCATTAGGAGCTGCCTTCTCCCTCTTGCCTCTGGCAAGCACATGTACTCTGACAATTAAAATAAATACAAGGTGTGCCCTTAAAAATAGTGAGACAGTAGGAATAAAAAGGTACCTACACAAAAATGATCACTGTTGTGTTACAGTAGAAAAAAAATGAAACAGATAAAAATAGAGTAATGGTTTCCTAAATTCTGGTATACCTAATAGCAGGAATATTATACTATCATTAAAAAGTTCACTTTGAAGATCATGAAAAAGTTTATAATACCGTTGAATGAGAAAATCTTGCTACAAAATTTTATCCAGAGGAAAAGGGGAAACTTCCTAATGTCTTCTATTAAGGCAGTATTACCCTCACACTGAAGTAAAGCAAAGACATGACAAGAAAACTACAGAACCAATATTCCTTATGAATATGCAAAATATGTTAACAAAATATTAGAAGTGCCAGAAATATAGTAAATGAATTATACAGGTCAGCCAGTGGCATGTTGGCTAAGGCCACCAGATCCCACATGGTTGACTGTACAGTTCAAGTCCCAAATAGAGCAGCTTGAAAAAAAAAAAATCAGTGAGTGTATAGGCATGCATTCCCAAAATCCCCAAAGGAGGAATAAATGGAGGAGAAGGGATTGCGGTGCAACTATCCTCCATGAGTTGCTTTGTCACCCTCACCCCTTCCCTCTGGTAAGCATACATGCTCTCTGATAAGCTTACAAAAAAAAAAAAAAGAGGCTTATACAACACGAATGATGAGAATATAGTCCAGGAATGCAAAGGTGGTTCAAAGATGATTCAATATATGAAAAGGAAATGCAATCAAGATAATACAGCACATTAAAAGAATGAGGGGGACAGCAGGTTGCATGGTGGTTAGGGTACTGGACTCCCGCATGGCCGACTGCAGTTTAAGTTCTGGACCTGAGGCTTAGAAATCATGCTGGGCATGTGTGTGCATGCCCAGAATCCTGAGAGGAGAGTGGAGGAGAGGGGATTGTGACATGTACATCCCCCAATTGCAGGTGATTTCTCATTTTCTCTCCCTCTGCCTCTCTCCAGTGAGTGTACAAACCCTATGGCAAAAACTTAAAAAAAAAAAAAAAAGAATGAGAGAAAGCAACCACATGATGTCAATGTCAACAGATGCAGAAAAAAGCATTTGACAAAAACAACCACATCCTCTCATGATTTAAAAAAAAAAAAAAACTGAACCAACTAGGAATAAAACAAAACTTCTTACTATGATATAGGGCATTTATGAAGAACCCACAACTAATATTATGCCCAATGGTAAGAGACTAAAAGCTCTCTCCTAAGATCAGGGAAGGATACCCACTTTGAGCACTTGTACTCACCAATGTGCTGGAAATCTAGCCAGGGAAACTGTGCAAAAAATAAAGGCATCCAGATTGGGAAAAAAGGAGAAAACTGTATTTCACAGATAACATTATCTTAAACACAGAACACCCTAAAGAATTCACACAGGGTTGAAAAAAAAAACTATAAAAGCTAGCAAATGAGTTCAGCAAAGTTGCAGGAGACAAAATCAATACATGAAAACAAACTATTATTTCTATATATACACTAGCAATAAAATGAAATTGAGAAAATAATACCATTTATAACAGCATCAAAGAGGATAAAATATTTAGGAATAAATTTAACCAGGCAAGTACAAGACTTGGATGCTGAAAACTGTAAAACATTATTGAAAGAAATTAAAGAAAATATAAATAAATATATTCCATCCTATATTCATGGATTGGAACATTTAACATTGTGAAGATGGCAATATGGCTCAAAGTGATATAAAGGTTCAACACAATCCCCATAAAATTTCTAACTGCCATTTTCACAGAAATGGACACTTTAGTCCCAAAATTAACATGGAACTGCAAGATACCCCAAGTCGCCAAAACAATCTTGATAAAGAACAGAGTAGAACTCACACTTCCTGATTTCAAAGTTTCCCACAAAGTTACAATAATTAAAGCAGTGTAGTACTGGTATAAGAATAAACACAAACATCATAGAATCGAATTGAGTCCAAAAATACACCTATTACATCTATGATCAATTCATTCTCGATAGTGTGTCAAGACCATCTGATGAGGAAAAAATAGTCTTTTCAACAGATTGTGCTGGGACAATGGATATCCACATGCAAAAGAATGTTTTTGACCCCTATTTCACACCATATACAAAAAGCACAGTAATCCCCCTCTTATCTGCAGGACATACATTCTAAGACCTCCAATGGATGGACGCTTGAAACTGTGGACAGTACTATTCAGTCTATGGTTTTCCATCTGATAACTTAGAGTGTTACCAAGTGACAAATAGGCAGGTAGACTGTGGATATGCTAGACAAAGGGATGATTCACATCCTGGGTGGAATGGAGAAAGAAGGTTAAAGATTTTATCACACTAGTCAGAATGGTGCATGATTTAAAACTTATGAATTGTTTACTCCTGCAATTTTCCATTTAATATTTTCAGACTGTGACTGACTGCAGGTAACTGAAACCATGGAAAGCAAAACTGTGGATAGGGACTGTAAGTCAAAATGAATCAAAGACCCAAATGTAAAAACTAAAACTTTAAGATGGAAATAGGAGAAAATCTTCATGCTCTTGGACTAGACGACTGTTTATTAAATATGATATCACAGCATAGAAAAAAAAGTGGATGTCATCAAAATTAAAAACTCCTTTGTGTGAAAGGACACTATCAAGTGAAAAGACACTATCAAGGGAAAAGACAACCACACACTAGGAAAACATATTCGTAAAACATGTTACATTACAGGAAGAACTCCTATATCTCAACAATGAAAAGATAAATATACTACTATTAAAAGTGGGCAAAGGATTTGAACAGACCTTTCTTTAAAAATATATAAATGGCTAATAAGCACATGAAAAGATGCTCAATACCATTAGTCATTAGAAAAATGCAAATCAAAACCACAATGAACTACTACTTTATAACAAGTGGAACTATTGTACCCAAAAGACAATAGGAAGTGTGAGCAAGGATGTACAGAAATTCGAGAACCAGCAGTTAGCATAATGGTTATGTTGCTGGATTCCCACGTAGTCGACCGCAGTTCGCGTCCCAGACCCGGTGGCTTAAAACTCACGCCGGGCACGAGTGCGTGCGTGCCCAAGATCCTGAGAGGAGAATGGAGGAGAAGGGATTGTGGCGTAACCATCCCCCCTGGGGGGTGATTTCTTGCTTTCTGTCTCTGTCTGTCTGGTGAGCTCACGCGCCCTATAGTGAAAATCTCTCCAAAAAAAAAAAAAAAAGATGTACAGAAATTCTAACTTTCATATATTGCTAGTAGAGTTTGTTTGTTTTTGTTTTGTTTTGTTTTTGCCATAAGGCACATGCACTTGCCCGAGAGAGAGAGAGAAAGTGAGATATCACCCTCACTGAGGCTGGCCGCGCCACAATCCCTCCTCCTCCGTACTCTTAGGATGTGGGGCACACATGCTCAGCATGAGTTTTAAGCCACTGCGTCTGGGACTTGAACCACAGTCAGCCACCTGCTAGCCCTTCTGTCTAAGCTCGTTTTTTTTTTTTTTTTTTGGGTCAGGTTTTAAAAATAACCTTTATTTTTTAAAAGTTAATATATGAATTATAGGAAATGGAAAAACACAAGAAGCAAAAACAAAGTCATCCATAGTCACAAACAGTTCTTAATAGTAGTTATCACAGAGAAGTTGGACTTGGAGACTTTTAATTTGATTCCATTCTGTAGTATTTGAAAACTGTGAAAATAATATTCGATCACTCTTTAGAAATAAAACTTCAAGTATTTAGATGGCTTTCAAACATAGTAAGCATTGGGAACCAGCAGTTAGCGTAATGGCTATGTCGCTGGACTCCCACGTAGTCGACCGTGGTTCGCGTCTCGGACCCGGTGGCTTAAATCTCACGCCGGGCGCGTGTGCGTGCGTGCCCAAGATCCCGAGAGGAGAATGGAGGAGAAGGGATTGCGGCGTGACCATCCCCCCTGGGGGGTGATTTCTCGCTTTCTCTATGTCTCTGTCTGTCTGGCGAGCGCACGTGCCCTATAGTGAAAACCTCTCAAAAAAAAAAAAAACATAGTAAGCATTCAAGTTGTTCTATTCAAGAAAATATTTGCAAAAAAAGCTTCTTTAAAATTAATTGTCTTTTACAATTAGAAAATGGACACTGCAATATTGCGATCTGTATTTTCTGACAGATACACTTACGAGGCAGCATTTTCAAAAACTTGCTAGAAAGCCATATTATGTGGCATATATGCCAAGAGAAGAAAAAACAAGTAGCAGGTGAAAAACATTTCTATACACAAAGAGAATACAAAATGAGAAGTTATTTTATTGCATTTCGGATAACAGAACTGAGAAGTTTGTATAAATACACAACAAGACCCTGATGTGTGTTGTATGAGGACATGAGGCCTACTTATTATAAGGTAGAAAGAGTAAAACTGCTTTGTTTCATGTAGAGAAAGGTGCTGATATAATGATAATATTATACACATACTAAATTAAACGAAAATCTACAGAAGGCTGTCTGTAGCATCAGAGGCCTAAAAATTACATGAGCAAAAAACCAGATTAATATTCCATCTAATTCTTAACCTAAAAGATGTTGTCAGAGAATCTCCAGGATTGGACTAACACTGGAGAAATTTACTCTGAGGTAATCATGAAAACGTCAAAAAAGAAAATTGTACTTCTACTCATATATATATATGTGTGTGTGTGTATACACACACACACACACACACACACGATGCCAATAAAAGGATTAAAAAACCTACCTGCCATTCAAACTCGCTATCTGACCAATCCCAGTAAGTACTAATAGAAGAGGAGACATCACTGCAGACACTTCCCTCAGGGAATAAATCAAAAGAAGTGAAGTCTTGATCATCTAACAGGGAATAACAATCATCTTGATCTCCAACAGAAACTGATGAAAACAGTTCCTCACTGCATTCTGAGCTGGCAACACTCGTTCCACAAGAAGTTAGGTTCCACCTTTGAAAACACAAAAGAAATCGTAACAGGAACTATAGCATTCAGATGATTTTAAAATATTAATAGGACACATTTAATGACATGCATGAAAAATGGGTTTTTTAAGGTATTATAATATTGTGATTTAAAAAAAAAAAAATGTATCTTTTAAGTAAATATCAGGTTGTCAGGAAAGTCATGATGTATTTTTCTACGCAAAAATGCATCATGACATTTCTAACACCCCAATATATTAAAATATTTATGAATTAAATGTGTCTGGGAGTTTCTTCAAAATAAAAAGGGGTAGAGATATAGATGAAGCATAATGCTATATATGAATAATTGTTGAAGCTGGGCAAGAGGGACATGGGGTTCATTATACAATTCTCTCTACTTTTGTAGCTGCTTTAAACTGTTTATAATAAAAATTATTTTTGAGTTTTTTCCCACAGGGTGCGTGTGCTTGCTGGGGGGGGGGGGGGGGGGGGGGGGGCAAGAGACAGGCAGACAGTGAGAGAGAAACTGAGAAATCACCCTCTGGGGGGATGGCCACACTGCAATCCCTTCTATTTCATTCTCCTCCTGAGATTTCGGGCACCCATGCACACGGGTCAGGCTTGATTTTCAAGCCTACAGGTCTAAGACTCAACCACAGTCAGCCACATGGGAGTCCAGTGCCTTAACCACCACATCACCTGCTGGCCCCTAAGATAAAATATTTTAAAAGAAAGACGTTATGTAAATTAGGAATAGAACTGGCCCATAGCCTAGTGGCTAAGGGAACTAGATACCACGTGGCCAGCTCCAGTTTGAATCCCAGTCCTGGCAGCTTGAAAAACACACCAGGCCTGTGTGCATGCTACAGATCCAGAGAGGATAGAGAAACGGGAAAGAATTACAGTGTGACCACGCCCTTTTGGAAGGAGGGTCCTGCCTCTCCTCCCTGCCTCTGGCACAGCACACATCCTCTGGCAATAAAAATAAATAAATTAGGAATAAATTTAAACCAATTCTAAACAAAACATATAGGCACAGGGTTTACAAGTAAACTCTTGAGTGAGATTGAGTTCATATTCTTGTTCTGTCATTTGCTAACTATTTCATAGTAAGCAAATCACAACCTCTCAAACCCTGTGTCCTCATCTTTAAAATGGAGTTATTGTGAACATCACTTGAGAACACATAGAGGGCACTTAAAACACATAAAAAGTGCTCAAAACGTGGTAATTATTAACATTAAATTAAAGTAAGAGGGGAGTAAAATAAAAGTAAGAGGGGAGCCATTGCAGGGCAGAGAAAAGAAACAACGAAGAACACAGGTAGAAGTTCTAAAAGTGATAGTTGAAACATTAAGATTATATAATCTCATTGCAAAGAGTTTAGAATAGAATGGGTTGAGAAAGATTAAAATGAGCAATAATTCCATTATCCAGCAATAATTAATCCATATCATTTCAGTACTTTTTAATCTATGTGCATAAATATTTTATACAATCAGCAACCATTCTCTCTGTGTGTATACATACATACATATATATTATATATATATATATATATGAGTATCCTGCCTTGTCACTTAACATTATATATTTCAAGTCTACTACTTGAAACCCTCTTAATGCCTATATAATATTCCACTACCAGCAGGTAGTGTGGTGGTTAAGGTTCTGGACACTCCCACATGGCTGACCATGGTTCAAGTCCCAGACCTGATGGCTTGTTTTCTCACTTTCCCTCTCTATCTCTTTCTGGTCAAATTAAAAATACTAATAGTAATAACAATAATAAATTTTTAAAAATAAAAATATTCCATTTATTGTATATAACATAGTTTAACCTTATTCTGCCCAGTAATATATGCACAGGCTATTTCCCAGTTTCCGTATTACAAACAATTCTGAGATGAGCTTTTTGGTATATAATTATTTATTCAAATAGAAATTATCTGAAGATAGACTGCTTAAAAAGTAAGTACTGATTCAAAGAACATGAACATTTCTAAAGTCACTGTACATTCAGTCAAATACTTCTCTAAACGGCTAAACCAATTTACACACCCCAAGGCAGTATATAAAAGTTCTCATCTAACCCCCAACATTTTCAGCACTATATTTATTTACCTATATGCTAGTACAGAACATTTTTAAATCAATTTTCACTTTTTTGATTTTTAGAAATATCACAACTTAAAACACATAGTAGCTATTCTGCTATGGTATTAATGTTTTCATTATCAGTTTTACAAGAGTTCTTGGGACCAGCAGTTAGCGTAATAGCTATGTCGCTGGACTCCCACGTAGTCGACCGCGGTTCGAGTCTTGGACCCAGTGGCTTAAACTCACGCCGGGCACGTGTGCGTGCGTGCCCAAGATCCCGAGAGGAGAATGGAGGAGAAGGGACTGCGGCGTGGCCATTCTCCCTGGGGGGTGATTTCTTGCTTTCTGTCTCTATGTCTCTCTCTGTCTGTCTGTCTGTCTGGCGAGCTCATGTGCCCTATAGCAAAAACTTCTCAAAAAAAAAAAAAAGGAAAGAAAAAAAAAAGAGTTCTTTATGCATTAAGGATACTAACATTTTGTTTGCAATATCTGTTGTACAGTAATGAGGGATTTTTTTTTTTTGGTCTTGAAATCTATCATTTTTTTTCTTTTGTAAATTTCCACTAATTTTACACTATTAATGAGATAATATTCATTGCTTTGGCAGTAGCACAGGGAATTAATCCTTCAGATAATGATTTAGTATTTCCGATACTAATAAGCTACTGAAATAATGACTTCCTGAAGAAAATCCTGCTGTTGACCTATTATTAGATTGTTTCTTATCCTTCATTAAATCTAGTTTTTTCTTGATAATGTATTTAATTTTTCTAACTTCCTCCCTTACTTTGTACGGTTAATCTCAAATTCAGAAGTTCTTGATTTATAAAATTTGTTAAACACCTTAAAAATTTTATGGCACCTTTTCTTTTGAGTTGAAGGTAGAGCATTTCAAAGCACTGAGACACGTGTATACACACATATACCATTATAGTTCAGGAAATAAAAAGCAGATGTCAATAAATTTTAATAAGTACTCAAAAGTCACATAAGAATCCTAGAATATCTTGTAATAGTATATAGTTCTATTATATGCTTGCTAGGTGGGCAATATTCCCATTTTTGAAAAATTAATAAACGTAGTAGAATTAATAGAACTGCCCGTTTGTAATAAAAGCTACAAATAGCAACCACAAGTTTTATTATACATCTAAAACCATATCTACATTGTGTCCTGAGCAAACTATTTAATATACTTTCTCTTGTGCCTTTAAACTACATGTGACTTTTTTTCTCCTTTATTCATTCTTCCAATCAACAAATATTTAGTCAGTATCTTCAATGTACCAAATACTTTGTTCAGTGCTAGAAAAAACTGTTAGATAATTGTTTTTAATTAGAATTTTTGTCTTGTAAAAATTCTGTAGAAACGTGTTTTCCTCCATGAGAAATAATGACATTTGCTTTTTAAAAACTATACCGTATTTAATAATTAACTACTAGATCATAAAGGAATTTGCTTGCTACTAGATCATAAAGGAATTTGCTTGGTTTTGTGCCCTTACCTTTGGGCAAAATCAGCATGTTCCGTAGTTTTCAGATTCATAACTACTGGGTCCTTAGAAAAGTCATGATTTTTCATAGAGGTTTTTGCCTTAGTGCATATACACTCACTAGAGACAGAGAAACAGTGACAGTAAGAGAGAAAAAATCACCCCCGAAAGGGGATGGTCACATGGCAGCCCCTTATCCTCTATTTTCCTTCTGGGACCGTGGAGGCATGCAGGCACACACACCTGGTGTGAGTTTCAGGCCACCAGGTGTGGGACTCGAACCACGGTTGGCCATGTGGGAGTCCAGCGAAAGCAACTACTATGCCATGCCATCTACCAGCCCAGTCATGATGAATTTTTGTACAGAAAAACACATCATAAGTTTTATGAGGTTTTTAAATTTATTTTTTAAATTTATTTATTTATTTTTTTACTTTTAGAGAGATTTTTGCTATAGGGCCTGTGTGCTCGCCAAAGACACAGAGATACAGAAAGTGGAAATCACCCCTCAGGGGATGGGCCACACCACAATCCCTTCTCCTCATCCTCCTCTGAAGATCTTGGGCATGCATGCACACACACACATTTGGCATTGGTTTCAAGCTGCCGGGTTTGGGACTCGAACCATGGTCAACTATGTGGGAGTCCAGTGCCCACCATGGGGCCATCTGCTGGTCCCTCATCATGACTTTTCTGACAACCCAATATTTAACAAGGTTCTAGAGTTTCAGAAACCTCTGCCCCCTCCACCTTTTAAAAGTTATCAGCAGCAAAGTAAACTGGGCTCATAGTTGAAGCAAATCATTTACAAAACAGAAAAGTATTTTTACTACTAAAGATTTTTAATACTCTTTATCTTCTAATTTTTGAATATTATTATTTAAAGACAAGTATTATTTTAAGGTAAAAACTAAATAGGAAGTACTTCTATTTATTGCTTTTAGGAATGTATATTCATGTAACCTTTCTGAAAAGCAATTTGGTAGTATATCAAGAGCTTTTTAAGGTCCATTCCAGGGCCAGCAGGTGGTGTGGTAGTTAAGGTCCTGGATTCCTATACAGCTAAATGGTTAGAGTCCCAGACTGGGGCTTGAAAATCATGCTGGGGCATGTGTGTACACGTAACCAAAATCCCAAAAGAAGAATGGAAAAGAAGGTGTGTGGTGTGGCTATGCCCCTTGGGGAGTGATTTCTCATACTCGCCCCCTCCAGTGAGCACACATGCTCTATGGCAAAAACTTAAAAACATAAAAAGGTCCATCCCTTTGGATTAAGTAATTCCAGTTCTAGGAATCTATTCCCTTCCTCATAGAAACATGAAAGAAAGATCTATGTACAAACATGCAAAAACAATTTTATAAATCCCAAAAAGGGAAAACAAATGCCCCCAAAACATGTAGAATCATTAAATGATACATCTGAGTAATGTTAATTTCATAATTAAGATCTTATTTTCAAACTATTTACTGAAAAGGAAAACACTTAACAAATGTAAGTGCAAATAAGCAAGTCACCAATTGTATGTACAGCCTGATTCTGATCTTTGAAAGATTATATATGTACATAGAACATTAAAAGAAATACAATAACAACACTGAAAGATATTTCCTTGGGAAAAATAAATTGATAAGTGGTCTTTACAGTTCTTTATATGCCCACAATTTTCCAGGAGTTTTTATAATAAAAATTTAAGTGTGATTCTTTTAGACTGTCCTGTCAATTTCAAACTTACAATGAATGTCCAAAGAGTGCTCAGCACTAGTCAAATTTATAAATCTTATTCTAAAAGGAAGCTGTCTAACACTAAGATCTAGCTATCAGCATATCTTACTCTCAAAAGAGACTTTCTCCAAAATCTTGAAAGAAGTATATTGAAATAAATTCCAATAAAATGGTATTTAACTAATAACTAGGCTTGCTGCTAATAGGCTTGCCAGGTGGGCAATATTCTCATTTTTAGATCAGAAATTAGAAATTTAAAAAATAAAACCAAAATATTTACCTGTAAGACTTTTCAGCAAGAATATAAAGACTAAAAACTTTGGATAGTATTTTGGTAAAGAGCCACTTGAATGTTAAAATTATGTAAAGTGAGTGTACCATTTACACTTCCCTCTGCAGTCCCTTCCTCTCTCAGGTGGACTTAATCATCCCTTCTGAGGATGAGAATCCAGTCAATGAGGACTGTTGAATAAAGTCATAACTGTCAAGCTGATGAAAGTCGTTCTAAACCCAAACTGTGCATTCATTTTTAGGAGCCAGACTCCCACCATCACTTGTATTCATCAATTACTTCCTGCTAGAATTCTCATGCAGATACCCTAATCTCTGCAGCTACTCAAGAGCCCAAAAGGCCATTAAGGTTCCAAATTATAGATGACACAACCCCTAAGTTACTCACTGAAGTTCCCTACTTTCCTCCCAGCTACCTCAGTCGTCTTAGGATCATCACCCATCTTTTCTACCCCTTCTACTGTTTGGGAAGTAAAAAGCATCCCGTGTCATTTCTAAGGCTAATTTTCCCAGTTGTGCTTCTGAGTTCATCTCCATCTCTTCTCATCACACCCTCTCTTTTTATTTAACATAGCCCTTTCCTGTGGCCTGTTTTTTTTTTTTTTTTTAGGTTTCTATTAAAATGTGTGTGTGTGTGTGTGTGTGTGTGTGTGTTTAATTTAACTTTATTTATTTATTTTAATTTGACCAAAGAGGGACAGAGTGAGAAAAAGCAAGAAAAGGAAAGTGAGAAAGCAAGCTGCCAGGTCTGGGACTCGAACCATGGTCAGCCATGTGGGAGTTCAGCAACCTTAGGCTCCTTCCTCATTAAACTTTGTTTTAATGTGTCTCAAAAATCTGTGACAGATATTTGGTCAAGTTGATTCCACTGAAAAGTACTGATTTAAAAAAAAAAACAAACTAATAACTGAGACTAGCAGATGGCGTAATGGTTAAGTCGTTGTACTCCCACATAGTCAACCACAGTTCAAGTCCAGGACCGGCAGCTTAAAACTCGTACTAGGCGTGTGTGCGTGCGTGTGAGTGTGTGTGCTCAAGATCCCAAGAGGAGAAGGGAGGAGAAGGGACTGCTGCATGGTCATCACCCCAGGGGATGATTTCCTGCTTTTTGTGTCTCTGGCTAGTGCCTGGGCCTTAGAGAAAAAAAAAAAAAAACTCTCTCTCTCCTAAAAAAACAAACAAAAAACAACAACAAAAAACTAGTAACTTAAGACTATCACACACACACACACACAAACACACCCCCAAATGGTCCACAAAATATTTTCCTTTCTTTCTGAAGACTTTATGATGCATTGTTACCATTAACCAGTCTTTTACTATTAAACTTAAATGACCAATTGAGACAAACAGTTCTGAGACTGTTCTTCCACCACTGATTAAGACTGGGGTGGCAGGAATTAGGGATATTCATTTAGCCTTTCCAGCTTTCTGGGCAGATTCGGTGACCTTGCCAGCTCCAGCAGCCTTCTTGTCCACAGTTTTGATGTGGCCTGCTTCTAAGGAGCTAAGATCTGTATTCTTGTAAAAGAAAAACCAGTAAAAGAATTTTAGGAAGACAGAATAAATTTTAAATAAGTCCAAAAAGTGAATGTACTTCAAAAAATTAGTGTTAGTATGGAATATATTCCCCTACTTTTGTGTATATACGTGTGTGTGTGTGTGTATGTGTGTATATGTGATAGGGATAGATATATATACATCCCTTTCAAATTAACACATCCCCTTCTCTTCCTTTCCCTGCTAAATTTACTGAAAAACTTCCTAGACCTTTGTAGCCTGTGATTGCACTCCTATCACACAACTGCAATTTCTGCGGATTACTCACAAATCTGTGTTTCTAGGCTTGATATTTCTCCAAAGCCTGACCTCCATTTTCAACTTGTTTTAACAAGTCTCCAAACCAAATTACCCCAATGTGGTTCTCCCAGTTGCAACCCACAGTTCTTCTGCACCTCTAATTCTCTGTATTGATAGGAAAACTGTGGGTAATACAAAGGGCATATAATAGTCTTGGAAGTTTTCTAGTTAATGGTAATTGAAAATGGGGCTCTAAAATCATGTAACTAAGTAAATGATTTATACAATAGTTTGTTTCAGTGCCTGCCAATAAGAGTGTACAAAAGTAAGGCACTGTCCTCCCACACACTTTCACAATGGTTCAATGTCAAGGTACTGATGCACATCTGAAAGATGACATGAATAACACATCTGAGAGTTCATATTAATCTCCTTCATCTCACAATTGAATCAAGGGACTTACCAATACAATTGTAATTTTTCCAATTTGTTAAATGACATGTTTTTTGTAGTTGTTGTAGAGGCAGTTGCAGCAGACACGGCTAGTATACAAAAAAAAAGCCTTGATGAAGGGCTAAGAGAAAATCTCCACTTAACATCAGAAGAAAAAAGATCCCCCAAACCAAAGGAAATGTCTTCAATGTTATACACACACACACACACATATACATACAAATATATATACAGTAGAAGATATTCCACACTGACACTAGTTTTTGTTGTTTCTTTTTTTTTTAAGTTCATTCACTTTTTGGACTTACTGAAATTTATTCCATCTTCCTAAAATTCTAGATTAAACCCACCAATGTCATAAAATCCTAAAAGACACTCCTAGAAAAGTCTGAATTACTAGGAACCTGGCTGTGCCCATGTAATTTATTTTCTCCTGAGCCTAGACCAGGGACACACCAACCTATGTCACAGGTAACTCTAATCTGAACACTGCATGCATTCAACACCAGGGACCATAAGTATTAGTGCTATGACTCTTGGTTAATGAAGATTGCAAATATAACCTAGAATCCAGCAAAGGAGAAGGTACAAAACAGTCATTATCATAAGGCCCCTATCAAGGGTATTAGTTAAACAATCTCTGCAGTTTTCTTATCAGGTAACAAGGAGGAAGCATAACAAAGGTAAACCAATTATCTACCCACAGATGATTTTCCTACTTTCAATGAGATTTATTTTAATGACTAAACCCATAGCAGAATTTCAGTACTCAACTATTTAGATGTGA